ACTATCCCCGACCATAACACACTCTCCTCCCCTCCCATCCCTGTGACTACCCCCTCCCTTCCCCTCCTTAACTATATACTCCAGTCTGTCCAGTAATCCCTCTATTTGAATGCTACCTCTCTCGTGCTGCTCATTGCTCTAAGGGGTGCATCTCCCTAGAGTAGGTGAGCACATCCCTCTGGGACAGTTGTTCTGCATGTAGGTCTTTCTACTTTTGGGCTGAGAGCCAATCCATGGGAATAAGTCCATTACTAGGCCCAAAGGGTAACCTGGGACCATAGCCTTGGGGGTTCCACCAGACTCTACCTGACCAGTAATTCTGGTCATTTTTATGTTTCTGGATTTTGTTCCACATTTTTCCTCCCATTATATCCAGTATCTCCAGTTTTGAACCCTTTCCGAGTGGTTGGCATTGGTGTCTGGGCACCATCTAGTTCTCGTCTTGGGGTCACAAAAGCAGAGATCCTCATGGTCTGTCTTATCCTTGGACTGGACTAGTTTCCACATGCCTTTGATTTTTTTTCACTCTTCTTTGATTCTGATGAGAGGAGACCATTAGTTGCATGTTACATGGCTGTGCAAAAGCTTTTAAGACCCTAGTTGCTACTCACCAAAGTAGGTTGTGGAACAAGATTTTTATGTACTATGTTGTGCCAATTGAGCGTGTTGTCCTCTGAGACTATGGTCCCAAGTTGGGAGGTGCAGTGATTTCTCTCTCTCAAGGTGTTTGGTTCAGATAGCTTCTTTTTGACAATGCCAAGGAAGTACATGGCACACTTATGGGGGTGGGACCAGGAAATAAGGTGTATGGAATTCTAACATGGAGATTGGTCAGTTTTGCCATACCACTAGGCTTAAAATGAGCCATCCGAGAGACAGCAAGGTAGGACCTGACCATCACCAAGAAGAAAAGATGGGAGCAGAGTGTATCCTTTGGACCTAGGTTCCCTGTGCTGGGAATCTCCTTGATCTAGGAAACCCGACAGATAGTGAAAAGTGGTGTGAGAGAAATGGTGGCAACAGAGGCACTAGAACCAGGAGACTGGTAGAAAACAGTGTGGTGAGTTTCCAGGCCCAGGGAGTGATAAAGTTGAGTGCCTTTGGGGCAGGAGGCTTGCTGGTGGAGTGGGGTGCTTTTAAGTACTTGGTGGGTAGCTGAGTTTGCTGACCCATCCAAGCACCTTTAGGCTGAGGCTTACTAACAGAGTGGGGTGCTTTTGGGTACTTATTGGAAGAGCTAACAGAACTTTGTAGCACTTAACCAAGCAGGGTAAAGGCTGGGCTGGCCCAAGAGGCCCCTAGTGGGAGGAAGGTGTTGGGGTTCAGACCCAAGAGGGCACATGCCTCAGAGTAACTTTGCAGAGAGAGACCAAAAAACTGACCTAGAGTCACCATAAAAGACATTGGGTTTATTAGGGGATCTTATGGAAAAGGAGTGCTGCATCGAGCAGCAGCCTGGTCAAGTCTTCTGAGTTCTGTACCCCCCCCCCCAAATCATTTATACAATAATAGAACAATCACAAGGGGGCTTGGGTGATAAGCCAGACTAGTCTGGATGGTGGCCAATCCAGGTGGTCTGTCCTCTCTGGAAGTTTTGCAAGATGTTTCAGCTGACAATAAGTTTCTTTATGTTGGTGGTCACAAGTAGATGTTCCTTCCTCATAAGGTGCTGGCATCAGTGGCTGCAAGCTTGGCTGCCTCAGAAATGTATAGGGAAGCAAGGCCAAAGAAAGGGAGTACAAAATTTAGGATGGTGGAGCAGGAGTCATTTTAGGGTGTTTGAAGGCCTATATCCTACAGAAGGGGAGCTCTGGTAGCATAGTGCCTAAGGCACTTGACTGCTAACCAGAAGGCTGGCAGTTCAAACCCCCCAGCCACTCCTTGGAAGGAAGACTAAGCAATCTACTTCTGTAGTGATACTGCCTCGGAAACCCAAGGAGGGGTCGCTATAAGTTGGGGCCGACTCAATGGCACATAACAACAGCAACAACATCATACAGAAGGGAGGGAGAACTAGAGAGAGAGAAGAGAGAGGGAGAGAGAGAGACCTACCTGTGACACAGCTGACAAGAGGCTGTTCTGATCAAAGAACTGTATCCTGAGTTGTGTCTGATCCTGAGTTTTAACCTGTTATTTCCCTAATAAACCAAATAATCATAGGTATTGTCAGTGTGGCCATTGCAATTAATTATTGAACTTAGCAGAGAAGTAGAGAGTTCCATAGGAGGGACCATTGGTATTAGAATTAGTAAAAAAAAGGTTGGAAAGGGAGGCATATCTGACCATCTGCCTCATGTGAATCAGTTCCTTTTCCCTTGTGAAGTTAGAGTCGATCAGACTGTGCTCCCATGCCATTTTTAAAACCAACAAGAGTGATTTAAAAATGGAAATCAAATAATATTACCCTGCTCCAAACCTTCTAACTACAGGCACCTTTTTGCTCTTTCTTACATAGATAGCAAGCTTAGTGATTTGGATTTGCACTTGATTTCTCTGGAAGTTATTCTCTCAGATCACTTGATTCATTAACTCAATACTTTCAGGTTTCTGTGCAGGTGGCCTCAGAAAGGTCTTCTCTGATAACCATAACCAAAGTACTTCTTTCCTCCATTGTCCTGTCATTTTCAAGCCCCTTTCTTGGCTTCAGTTCCCACCCCCTAAAGCATTATTATTCTTGACATTATAATGGGGTGTGTGTGTATATTTAAAAGAAATACTGGTGGTACAGCATCTAAGGCATTTGACTGCTAACCAGAAAGCTAGTGGTTCCACCAGCCACTCCTGAGAAGGAAGGTTGGGCAATCTACTTCTGTAGTGATACTGCCTTGGAAACCCAAGGAGGGTTTTGATGGCAAATAACAACAACAACAACAACCGTGCTGTAGGTTTTTCTATCCTTATTTTAAAGAGGAATATGTAGTTCAGATAGATTAAGTGACAAATACGTACTCATATAGGTTTTAATTAGTCAATTGATTAAAATGATTTTTATTGAAAGCCTCTGGCTAGGTGCCAGAAAGATGTTTACTTTTTGTTTTATTGATTATGCAAAAGCATTCGACTATGTGGATCATAACAAATTATGGATAACATTGAGAGGAATGGGAATTCCAGAACACTTGATTGTACTCATGAGGAACCTGTACATAGACCAGGAGACTGTTCGAACAGAACAAGAGGATACTGCATGGTTTAAAATCAGGAAGGAAGTGTGTCGGGGATGTATTATTATTATTATTATCCTTTCATAATACTTATTCAATCTGTATGCTGAGCAAATAATCCAATTTTTTTTCCCCCACAGCATTATTATTCTCAACATTATAATGGGGTGTGTGTATATATTTAAAAGGAAGATGGGCTAGATAATGAAGGACATTTAGCTGTGTGCAGTGTAGTAAATTACTTAGTGTGGCTTTTCTACCCATAAGTCATTGTAAACTCAGTGGTGGAATGAGCAACTGAGGAGCTCCTGATTGTAAATGTTATCAACCTGGGTTATTTCTGTTGGGTGTGGCACAATGCAATGTTATGGGAGGCTCACTCTCAGGTGCTTAGAATTCTGTTGTTATAATTGGTT